TTTGAAACTGGCGTTTGATTTTCCTTTATCGCAAGTGCCTATGTATCAAATTTCGTTTAAATTCTTCCATAAATAAAAAAGTTGGCACTGCGCATGCGCAAAACCAAATTTTTGAAATTGGCGTTTGATTTTCCTTTAGAAGTGCTTATGTATCAAATTTCTTTAAATTCTTCCATAAATAAAAAAGTTGGCACTGCGCATGCGCAAAATAATTTTGAAATTGGCATTTTCCTTTATCCCAAGTGCCTATGTATCAAATTTCGTTTAAATTCTTCCATAAATAAAAAAGTTGGCACTGCGCATGCGCAAAACCAAATTTTGAAATTGGCGTTTGATTTTTCCTTTATTCGAAGTGCTTATGTATCAAATTTCGTTTAAATTCTTCCATAAATAAAAAAGTTGGCACTGCGCATGCGCAAAACCAAATTTTGAAATTTGCGTTTGATTTTCCTTTATCCCAAGTGCCTATGTATCAAATTTCATTCAAATACTTTTATAAGTAAAAAAGTTTGCAATTCGGTTTATAAATGGTCGAGATGCGAAAAGGGCACTGTGAATTTGGAATCGATTCGATCCAACTTTTGGCATTGCGTATTATATGGCTAAATCTATGCCCATATTGAATTTCATGCAATTCAGTTCATAACTAACGGAGATGTAAAAGTGATCGAACATTTCTAAACAAAGTTATCTTTCACACGGACAGATAGATGGACAGACAGACAAAGGAACAGACGGACAGACCAACAGGCAGACGACAGATAGCAATGCAACATTATAAACGATCTCTAGGATCGTTAATAAACGGCAAAAGTGTAAAATTATGGAACATGTAAAAAACGGTTTTTTGTTTTTTTTACAATAACTTTTTTTGTAAGCGGTACAGAAAAAATTCCTTCCTTGGTACAAGACTCGACACCATAACGAACCAAATAGCGAAAAAAGTAGAACAATAGCTCTTAAGATAAAAAACTAGTAGCGTCGCAAAGTTAGCGGACGGACGGACGGACGGACAAAGTGGCCACAATAGCGCATTTTTTTTTTATTTTTGTGGAAATGCGCTAAAAATTGATCGTTTGTCATCTGCAACGTACACAACCACAACGAAGTGCTGATTACGAATGGTAATAATTGTAGATAGTTTCCGCTTAATGTGACGAACATGCTTCCGAACTTTTTTTGGGAAAAGCATGTGATTTTTCACCATCTACGTTTTTTGTTTCCGCGTTTTCTATTAAAACAATAGCTACGCGTATTTTATTATCAATTATTATTAATCAAAATAATGTTAATTTCATTTATAAAATTTAATTAAGCGAACAAAGTTCAAATCACCTAATGTATATATAATAAATGAATAATTCGAAGCGGGAATAATGGACCAGGATCTCACTTATTTGATAACGATTGTACAATGCGAAGGTGATCAATCGGCGACGAGCTCTGACTTAGCCAGCACCCGATAATTAGTATCCGAAATGATTGTGAAGCCTTTTAAAACATACAAAAGGACCCAGTTCCTTGCAGCATATACAGGTGAGTGACTGGAATTAAAAACATCTGCCTCTCATTATTAATAATTGATTACCATAATAAGTAGATTAAGATGTCTAGATATTATTTGCTTGATTGTCGAAAGGACTGTGGTAAACAGATTGTAAGTGATCAACTTTAGAAAGTAGTCCTTATCCAAACCCAAAAACTTGCAAAAAGGTTAGTAAATTATTTCAACCTAGCAACATTTTATAGCCATTTAACTAGTATCCATAAAGCAAAAATGACGTTTTAAAATTACTCTAACAAAAGGTTGTTAAATTAGCTCAATTAAATACCTATAAATTTCGCAGTTCTCCTATGCTCGAGTTATTGTCCTCCTTCGAGATATACATTAACACTCTATTGGGTCGCAACTGAATAAATGAAATCTTTTACAGCTACCATTAGTGCAATATCAGATGGAATGCAGTACTCCTGGGCTGCGCCAATAATCCCGATACTACAGTCCGCTGACTCGAAGATTAAAATTACGGAAACGGACGTCATGTGGCTGCAAAATATGTACTCCGTAGGAGGAGGCATTGGACTAATAACCGCCATTTTCACCGTTAAACGGTTTGGATGTAAAATATCCATTCTCATGAGTGCTGTGCTAAGTCTACTTGCGTGGATGATGATTGCATTAATGGTCTCGGTAGAGTGCCTCTACGTGGCCCGATTTTTCTGTGGAGTGGCAAGTGAAATGGTTTACGTTTCGGCTCCGATGTATGTCGGCGAGATATCCGACAAAGAAGTACGGGGATTTCTAAGCTCTTTGTTGCCAATGAATTTAATTTTTGGTATTATAGTAATGTTTTGCATAGGCCCTTTTGTCCCAATTTATATTTCGTCGGCAGTCGGAAGTATACCTATCATAATACAATTGATTTGTTTTAGTTTCATGCCTGACTCACCTTACTATTCGTTGAGTAAGAACAAGGTCGAGACAGCCACGAAAAATTTACAAAAGTTACGACAAACCGACGATGTTGATGCAGAATTAGAACAAATTTCTTCGAACATAGCAAAAGAACAGGCCGATGGAGGACGTGTCATCGATCTGTTTCTACTGAAAGGTTGCAGGAAGGCACTACTGATCTTGGCAGTTATCAATTGCTCTGTACATTTTTGTGGCTTCACCGCAGTCGTTATGAATATTCATTCCATTCTCGAGAGTGCTGGCTCGCCAGTAGCACCAAGCGCTGCAGCAATAATTTTTTCTTCCTTAATGTTGGCATCAATCATATTTACGTCGCCGTTGATCGACAGAGCAGGACGAAAGATGATGCTAATTTTATCATCCGTAATCACGACTTTGTTGCTGTTCGTTTTTGCATCTTATTTTACCATCCAACTGTACATTCCTGCCGTGACCGAATACAATTGGATTCCACTAATTTCCATGATGATTTACGGTATGGCTTATAGGTGCGGATTTGGTACTGTTTCAGTGGTTCTTACTGCCGAACTATTTCCAAGTAACGTCAAAGTGATTGGCATTACGATTTCTGATGCACTTTACGTGATATTCTCGTTTCTTTCGATCTATATTTATCAAACGTTTAGAGTGAGCTACGGGATCCATGTCCCCTTCTTTATTTTTGGTTTTTGGTGCATATTCAGCATCGCATTCATTTTGTTCTATCTACCCGAAACCAAAGGGAAGTCTTTGGAGGAGATTCAGAAGATTCTTAAAGGAAACGTACCTAATACCAAAAGCGCCGAAATTCATCTAGAAGCCCTTAAAGGAAAAGAAACAACAAACCATTGATTGTATACTAAATTATTGCACTGATTAAACATTATTAAGACTAATGATGTAGTTTTACGAAAACTGCCCTTAGCACGTTGGAATTTTCTGCATGCAGAAACAGAAAGCCTTTAAATATAAGATATAACCTTTGTTCCAAAAACTTTGTTCAAAAAATCCATACTTTGAAAGAAGTCCCTAGCCTAGGATTGTCACTTTTTGACTAGTAGTATATTGTCACAAAATGCAAAATGCAACATTTTCCTAAGGTAAAATGTCGTTGCCTGGAATACATAGGGAAAATATTTTTTTCACTACTAGCGTCTGATGACATGATTATTAACCTTTTCGTACTTCCGAGACTAAAGTGACCACTTCAGTCCATTATGACAAGTACTGAAGTGTCACTTTTTGTCCCGCCGGGATTAAATTTTGACGAAAATCCCGGAAGGATGAAATTACTAACAAGGCAATTTCAGTAGGTTGTTCCACATTTTGTATGCGGCACTACTTCTTAAGCGTATCGTACTGCTGCTCATATAGTTATTTGGATTTCAGTGGTATCAATTCTTTACCTAGTTTGGCTGCTTTTTATGAATATCAAATACACTTTTGTCACCCACCACCAAAATTATGACACTAGCAATGACAGTTTCCAAATTATTTTTGTTACCACAGCATAGGAATTGTCGTACCAACGCAACGTTCCTATGGTAACTTGTTAAGCAGCGATTTTTTGAAAGAACGCGTTCTCTAACTCCATACATATTAAGTGTTTCAGTTTCGGAAGTACGAAAAATATCGTATATACCTTGCGACTGAAGTAGTGTTCTTAATCCCTCAGGTAAACTATGGCCCTCCCTTCGGTCGGGCCATAAACTTTACCTTGGGGATTGAAAGTACTACTTCAGTCCAGCGGTATATAATATACTATTAATGAATGAAATAAGCTCAGGACAGGCGGGACAAATTCCCACAGTACTACCCTCAAATGGTGTATCGAGAACTTTTTCAGGGATTTGAACTTCTCGTCTAATTTTGGAAATTCAAATAAACATTTCAAAGCTCAAACTTAACTTTAAAAGGTCATGCTAGGGTCAATTTAGAAAGTTAATTATTTCTCCGATGTAGATCGTTAGTTTTTAAACTATCTCGTGCGAGAAGCATTCACTTGTTTATGAATTTGTTGTTCATGAGTCGAATATAAGAACGTAAACGGGGGAGCACTTCAGTAATACACAGATCTAAGTGGTCTTAAGGTCTTTAAGAGCATCCAAAGAACTTAAAAACGTTCTGAAGAGATTTTCAAAGCCTTTAAAGTCTCTTACAGCTACTGAATTTTAAACGATTTATAAAAGCTCTGAGAAACTCTCTACTAGAAATTGTAACAGTACCCGAGTCGAGTCTAGTCACCTTTGGAATTTTTGCTTTTGCTATCGACGTTTATTCTAGGTATATACCTGCATTGTAGAATCGACCCAAGGTCTCTTAAAGACTTACAAAGGATTTTGTAGACTTTGAGACATTGGCGGCCCTTATAGATACTTAAAAGCTCTTAAAAGGCTCACGAAAAGCTCTCTGTCTCTCTCTTTAGACTATAGGTGACCCTTAACATGCTCCTAGAGACGAAGGTTCATATAAACGATCTATAAGGGTCTTAGAGGTTCCTCGAGATCGGTATTTCGAGCTCTGTTAAATTACAAGACCGGACACGATTAAAAGCTCTGAATACTTTTTAAGAGGCTTTCGAAAATCTGTAGAGGATCTTAGGATTCTCTATTTAAAGCCTCGGACCTGAACCTCTCTTAAATGCTTTTAAAGAGAGGAGAGAATTTCAAAGCCCCTAAAGGCTGTAGCAGTTGGTCGCTTGGCCATTTTCATATATTTGGCTTTGAATTTGTATTTTTTCAACATGGAGAACTTTACACATATATCGCTTCATAGCGAACGTGAATAAAAGTATGTCTGCAAATAAAAGCGATCACAACGCGGACCTTTTTCCATAAAAGTGTGCGTTTTGAGATAGAGAGATAGCGAAGAGAGACCGGACCCCTTTTTGGTGCGCTAAAATTCTGCGTTTTAGCTTGAAGAGCGATCGCGTAAAAATACTGGTACATGAAAATTATGACGAGGAGGTTAGACTTTCATAGAGTTAGCACGTACTATTTTTGTGTGAGAATTTTAACTTCGCTTCTAATTTCGGGAGCGGTTACGTATCATATTAGGTGGACTAAAACTGTAATTTGAAAAATTTATCAAGTAGCGGTAAAGGGTTACCACTTTTACTTTGAGTGAAAAATTCTAAACAGGCAGGTGTCTGCGATTTTTTCAATCACGTCGTTAAGAAGCATTCATTAAAATCATATTCGTAATTTTATATTAAAACGGAAGTTAGCTTCATTCATAGCAATGCCGTTTATTTTTGAATGATAACAATCGACGCGAATAGACAATTCTGAATCTTAGAAATGCTTTTAAAAATAAACTGATTTTAAAACCCATTGTGAATTTAAAGACAATTAATCGATACATTTTACCTGCATCAAAACCTAGTAATAAATTGGGCAAGAATCATATGAACACAGCGGAGCATTAACTTATTATTCCTATACATAATTACGAATTTCAATGATACTTTTATGGAATTGAAGTCGGTTGGTTTGGATTCACGATTCATAATATGAAAGTTTCTTCCACCAAACCTTGCAATCATCACGAAGATAAAGTTACTAGGATGGTGAAAAAGGTCTAACTGTACCATAGAAGCGATCTGTTTTCATATTTCTAATAAGAGACAAGAGGAGAGAATAAGAGGCATTTTCCAAGAAGAGCTGAGGTCAATTTGTTACCAGAAGAGAATACTACCCACGTGAATAACTGCAACTTGTTTTGTATAAAATGGTGGTCGGCTATTTTTAGGAATTTTCGTAAGTAACTTTTGTTGAAGTAGTTTTAATATTCCTAAAAGAATGGACCTATGAGAACCATTTGCCCGAACAGATTTGTATTACATTTATGAATAGAGATCGAGCCCAAACAAAGAGTTTTAGTTATTTTGTTTCATTGCTTGAAAAATTGTGGTAAAGAAAATTGATCGCCTCTGATTTTATTAATATATTTTAATTAAATTAAATCATATGCGTAATTATTCGAGTTCAATCAAACCAGAGCATTAGATTTTGGTAGATCAGGTTTTCAGACGAAATAAAGACTCAAACTGCCGCAAGGTAAGGGGAATAAAAATATTTTACTTACTGAGCTAGCCGTGGGTAAATTAAAAATTAATTGTCATATTAAATTTTTTGCCAGTGCCGTAGAGGTCTAATTTTATTTTATGCAACTGGGGTCTTCGGCCCTTGTAACTTAACCCGTTACAAGGCATCTGCTTCAGAAAGTCATTTAAAAGCTCATAAATTGTCTCAAGGGCTCTTCGCAACAAATCACGTGAACACTAAATGGTGTTGAGGACTCATGAAGGTTCTTGACGAGTTTCAAAGACTCATTAAGGAATAAAAGTCAATTAAAAACTTCTAAAATGCTGTTGGGGTTTAATTAACTAAGACCTTCGAGTGACGTTAAAAGCTGCTGTGAAGTGTCAAGAAGTTTTCAAAAGATCCATGTAAGCTTTTGAATGTTCTTAAATTCGCTGTGGAGTGTAGAATACTGTAAACTAGTTTAGGAAACTTTAAAAACATCCTTAGAAACAAAAACGGGCGTACAATGCGAATGTGCTGTTGTCATACTCATTGCTCAATTTAGATTTTCAGCGTCCGAAGACGGACTGGTTGTTGATTTAAGACTTTCCTGGGTTGCTGAAGAATGCACATAAGTAGCTAATTTTTGTTTAAAATTATGGGAATGGCAAGTGACACCCTGTATTTAACATTATTCAAAGTGATCCGCAAATCTGGTCGATTTTTGTTACAAATAACCACATAGTTGATCAGTTTTACTTAATTTTAGTTGAGGTTGTACTTTTGGTTTAAATATTGTTCAATAATTTAGTAGGTTTTTATTGATTTTTTATAACTTAAGACGTAGAAGGTAAGAAACATGTGGGTAAAGGAAGTATTGCGTCTATACAAAAATTCTTTAACAGATGTTTGATAAGGGGACTTTATCAAAGTAAAATTTAATTGATTTAGATAAACGGTGTAAAGTTTGTAGATAAGGAAATACATGATAAACAAGTGCTCGCATTTTGTCGGCCCTTATCCAGGAACCAGTGTTGGGGATTTAAACAAAAGAAGAAGGTTTGTGAACACGGTGCCTATATGTTAAAATAATTCTGTGAAAAGTGTTGCGTTCGTCGTTTGTCGCATCTGTACAGGCGGTTTCAAACAAAAATTATTACAGCAAAGTAGTGAGTACATACTTTTTCTATATATGATCGTTTCTAACGGGGTGAAATGTTTCAATAAGGCCCTATTAGCCTTCAGATTAGTGTTTCATTGTATTGCTATAATGTGTTGGTGATAATGAAGATTTATTTTGTATGCGATCTTAGAAAATTATGTGTTGATTTGAAAAATAAAAGTAAAGAAAATCCAGATAAATTTTGTTTTGTGTTGTTCCATTTGAATCACAGATTTCCCGAACTTCAAAATTTGGATAAGTCGGTGTTGAGATTTTTCACCGTTTCGGAACCCAGCTGAACCCCGAGATTTGATCTTCCTTTAGTTATTAAAAATAATGTTTGTAGGAAGATGTGGGTTTGTTACAAGGTTTAATTTGTGTAATTTTGAGCCAGATAGATAAATGTGAGTGAATTTTCTGCAGCCCTTCGTTGGGCACAGGGTTTATTTTTTATGCGCCCGGAAAAAAGGGAGTCGGGTCTGGTTCTCTCCCCTCCTGCCGAGTTTGGGTGCACATTTTAAGTCAGTAAACTAAAATAAAATAAAATTATGAATACTATCAATAGATATTTATTGAGTTGTTTAACATTATAGAAATAGTGACTAAGATACGTACATATACATATTTATAGAAACTAACAAAATCTTTTTTCATTGACAAATTTTACTTCCCTTTCCTTGGGGTTTGGTCAATTACCAGGAAAAGTTTAGAGGTACCTGAAAACCTTATTTGTGTGTTAAAATTTGCGCTTCATTGCATTCATAAACATGGCAAGTAAAAGTGGATTTATTTTTACAAATTACAAAATTACATTTCAATATTAGGTAATTGTAATTAAAGAGAGTAATTTTTTACAGGCTAAGATTTTGGGCACGTTGGGTACGGCTTAGGCAATGTTTCAATAATGAATACTGATCACCTTGAGGTAGCGAGTACAGGCAAAATATAGCGTTATGTCATTTGTTTGGCGAGGCGCGGGAATTTGAACAATCACAACCTAGAGCGGAATAAATATAAAACCAGTCCATAATATTGTTCTCCCGGAATACCTTCCACTGGAAAGCAAAATTCAATTCCATGAACTCGTCCTTTCCGTTTAATTTAAAATTTGAAAACAGATTGTGCTGCATTTATCAGTATATACGCCTAAAGTTATACTATAACCTGTAACCACAGGTTTTTTTTACCACGGGATGTTTGGCAACAGAAGATGCCCATCTAAAGATTGTTTGGATTACATTGGTCTTTCGAATTCCGGACACTAAAACTTCCCTTTATTGAAAGAAGTTGGTTGGAAACTTGGACTGACTTGAACCTTCGCGTTACATAAGTCGCACTTTATCCTACAAATGACTCCCTTCAGTGCAATTTACTGAACTTTCCACATTGTCATCACGTGTAGTAGACTGACCCTTCAGCATTAATTGGATTTCACCCAAAGTTTTGCCTTTCGTTTCTGGTATAGCATACGCTGTAAAAAATGCCATAAAAAAGGAGCATCCTGCAAATATGAAGAATGGTACATGAATTCCGCATAACTCCTTTAAAGCTTGGTACATGTATATAGACAAGATTGAGGAAATTGCGTACATGGTATCTCCCATTGTCATCCCTAGGGATCTCACACTGGTAGGAAAAATTTCTGCACCTACTACTATCGACACGAGTCCTAACCCGTACTTAAAAACAATTGCATACGACATCACTGATAGTACGGGGATCCACGTGTAAGACACGACATTAACGCCACCATTTTTCAAAGCAAAATAAACCGCCAGTATTAGTACAGAAAGACCACTAAGGGCACTCGAACTGCAGAGCAATACTTTTCTTCCAATTTTATCGACGATAACTGCAGAAATCGTAGCCGATAACAACATTAACGTTGAAAACACAATTGCAGCACTACTTGTGTCGAATGTTACTCCGGCATCACTTAGAATTGAGTGGACATTCATAACCATAACACTGTAACTGCTGAAGTGTTGTGAAAAGTTTAATAACGCTGCAATTAAAAGGGCCTTTCGTCCATTGTTCGTCGTTACCAAATCCATGAAACCGCTTTTTTCCGATAGCTGCATTTGGATTGAGGATACGAGTTCGCTTAGCTCTGTGTCCACATCTTCTGATTGGCGCAGCCTTTGCAGCGATGACCTTGCCGCTTCCAGGTTCCCTTTTACAACGTAGTGGTAGGGAGATTCGGGCATAAAGGGAAAAGTACACAGTTCCGCTAACAGGAACAGAAATCCAACGGCCGACGATACCGGAATTGACACAAACGGCCCTACCGAGTACATTACCAGGATACCAACCAACATCATTAGGTAATACCAAGACCCTAACAATCCTCTAATTTGCTTATGGGCAATTTCTGCCGCATACATTGGCACAGTGACGTAACCCACATCTGTAGCCAGTCCGCTTAAAAATCTTGCAACGTACAGGTATTCGACGGATGGAGCGAAAGCTATTAGTATCCACGATATCATGCTTTGCACAACGCCGATCAAAATGGAGGTCTTGCGTCCGAAGCGGTCCACGGTCAACATTATGAATGGTATACCAGCAAACGCTCCTAGCATGTAGATGTTTTCCAACCACAACACATCTGAGGGAAATATTTGGATATGCGAGTCCGGACCTTGAAGGCGCGGAATAATCGGAGCCGTCCACGCGTATTGCATCCCGTCAGATACAGCGCTAAGCGTTGCTGATGAAGAACAATTTAAGTTAGAAATCTTACACTAGGCTTCGACAACATACCAGTTACAATAGTTACAAACTGTTGCAATTTTCCCTCGGCTTTGAGGGCTTGGAACGAAAACATTTTCTGTGCACTGTCAAACTTGTTACTGTTGGAGTGTGAACTATCATCGACCATTTATACAAACAAATATGCACAGTCAATAAGGTAATTATACCATTTTTATCAACGGGTCGTGACATTGAAATTAATTTTATATTTCACACAGTACTAATGAAAATTGAAGGTTTCATTACCTTTTTCCCATAGTCCCTAATGAGCAAAGTGACGTTGGTTTAAGAATTCTCAATATGCAATTTATGTACTTAATTTGTGTGGGCTAATTAGTGTCTTGTGCACTTTCTAATGATAGTTGTTATTTTCTATAATTGAAGCTGGTATAAAGGTAATTAAACAAACGCCGATAAGTAATAACATTTAAATAAGATTTGCAATAAATTGGATGTACCCTCGAGATCCGTGGGAGTGGTCCCTCTGATGTTGAAGCTTTCCTACACTCACTCAATAAATGTGTCGTCAACTTAATTTTAATATGTTTCTCCTCTTGGTAAATTTTTCTTATGATTGAGTTAGGTCTAATTTTAATGTTTTTTAGCAATTACTTATGTAATGATAATTTTATGTAACACTTGATAATGGAACGAGGTGCGTTCCGAAACATGTCGTGTCTTTTCATCAATACTACCTGTCAACTTTAACTGTCATTAAATTTTGGATGCGTGGGGAGATTTCGTGTATGTACCATTCCTGATCGAGCTACCCCATTTTGAGGTATACCAACCATTTTCATCGTATAGAAGAAGATATTCAGATAGACATCAAGGGCGGATTTGACCTCATTACCTATATTTTCAGAGCAGATACGTAATGTCGAACTGTCGCTTAGAGAAGCTTCAGAACGAAAACGAAGCTGTTAAAGAAACCAACTGATCGTAAACCACCAAGAATTTTGGGCGTGACCAGTCTGAATGTATAAGAAGCTTCAACATAAAAAGCACTAAGGCAACAGTAGATCCAGCCTCAAGAGGTACTCCCAAAATTGTGTGCTACGGATGTGGTGCACCAGGCGCAATCCGATCCAAATGCCTAAAATAATTTTTCGAAAACTTTTAATGAAAATCAATTAAAATATTTAGAATTGGGTACACACAAGGGTTTTATGTGGAGTGGTGAAACGGTTGAAAAAGCGATGCAGCTATATTTTTGGCTAGGGACTTTAAGTATGAACAAGGATAGCCAGAAAAGAATGGATCACAGAGGAAATTTTAGAACTTATGGATAAAAAGAGAAAATATAAAAAAGTATCAAGTCAGCATGGTATAGATAGATATATAAAGAATTAAAAAACAAGGTACACAGGAAATGTAGGTTAGCAAAAAAACAGTGGTTCGGGGGGAAATGCGAAGCTATAAACTGTGGCGCAGTTCAGTTAAAGCTGACCTGTGGTGCTAAGGGTCCCTGGTTCGAATCCGGGTTCGAGCTTGGATATTTGTAAATGTATAACTCGACGTATAGTGGGTTGGGTTGGTAGAGCAGCCTTGGCTGAAACCCCGCCTACTCAAAAATAAAGGCAAAATCAAATAAAATACAAATATAATAAACAAAAGGCCGAGTACAATAGAGATAAGAGGGACGTAGGATATAGGAAAATTAAGAGTAGTTTTAGTAAACCAAGACCAAGGTCCAACGTTCTGTAAGGTGCAGACGGAGAAGAACTCAGCAGATGAGCAGAATTAGAGCAACCAAACATTACAGAGGTAGAACTGGGGTTTAGCATTCTTAGGTTAGAGTTCGGCAGAGCTATAAAGGACAAAGAGAAAGCAACAGGAGAAGACGCAGTATCATCAGAATTAATAAAACATTCGGAAATAAAAGTGCAGGATAGGCTATTTAAAGTAACAAATAGCATATAGGAGACAGGGTAAATGCCGGAAGACTTTCAAAAAAGCAGGATGATTATGATCCCGAAGAAAGCAGGCGCAGAAAAATGCGAACATTTCAGGACAATTAACTTACTGGCGCACGCATCCAAAATACTATATAGGAGAAGACCGAACCGGAGAATAACCAGTTCAGGAAAAATAGGAAAAATCTAGGATAGCACAGGTAAAAAAGAATTTGAGCAAAAGCGGGACCTGTTAAGATCTGTGATAAATATAGGAATTAGGAAAAGACCGCTCAAAACGTACATGTGGAGTGTAGTTCTATACGGATGCGAAACCTGGACAGGGAAGACAAAAGTAGGATAGAAGCATTCAAAATGGGGTGCTATAGAAGGATAAAGAGGATTAGCTGGATGGATAGGGTAACGAACGAAGCGGTCTTGGAGTTAGTACAGGAAAATAGGGAAATGTCGAAAGCCGTACAGAAAAGATGCAGATAGAATGATTGAGCACGTGCTCAGACACGGGGGATTAGTACAGCTGGCCATAGAAGTTAGGTCAGAGGGCAAGAGAGGTATAGGACGACAGAGGCTTGGATACATAGAACAACAGTTAGGGATGTAGGAAAGGGCGATTATGTAGAAATAAAAAGGTTAGTTCAGGATAGGAAAGGGTGGGTTGTGGACTCCGAGAAGAAGAAGAATTTGTATTCTCTTCAAAACCATGTTAAACAATATCGTCGTTGATGGTTACGTATTTCCAGTTCCACCGACACGACTGTATCAGAAATCCAAAGTGCACTTTGTTAAACTCTTATTGAGATCTCCTGACCTGCAAATTGTCCTCTTGAGATTTGTTTAATATAATCTTGAGAACTCTTTGACTTTTTTCGAAATTTTCTGAAGACCTTCTCGAGATCCTAAGATGCTTTTTATGTTGAAATGCCCTTGACGTTTGTCAGTAACATGATAAACTCTCAAAATACTTGTGAAATTGTTCCGAAAACTTTGAGAATCTTCTTGAAACTCGCAGGGCCCAGAACAAAAGAGGGACAATAAATAAATAAATATTCGGAATTTGCGGATTACGATATAGAACCTGCAATGAAACGTCAGAAACCTAGAAGTGGAATCTGGAACGTTCACTTTAAGAGGTTGGTAATTTGAAATATTTTTTTCTACAACTGTCAAAAAAACCTGTCATTTTCTGACGGATTTCGAAACGCGAAGTACTAGATTTTTAATCGGTTAATTAATAAGTAAGGTTGCTCTTGACAACGTGCGCGAAATCGTCAACAGTGAAAAAAAGTATTTTGCGCACGGGACAAAGTTGAACTTAAACAGCAATTTAATTAACAATCGGTTCAGTTGTAGAAAAAATATTGTATATAACGCTAGCGCGAAGTTATTTCGCGCATTTGACTGATATTTTAACTCGGCTTCGCCTCGTCAAAATACCTTCAGTCTCAATGCGCGAAATTGAACTTCGCGCTCTTGTTATATAAATAACTATTAAGGAAAGCAATTATAGCATTTTTCGGATTCATGCATGTCAAAAAAAGACATTTTGTTTTATTTTACTTCTTCTTGGGTAGATGGCATCCTAAACTTTTGGAACGAGAATTTGTATCACTAAGTGTGCTTTCTTTTATCCACTTGAGTTGCTATAATTCTCATACGGTGTCGTGCGCCCCTTGCCGACCGTCCATCGATAGGGGGTCGGGACTATTTTTTTTAATTTAACATACATGCCCCTTTTTCGCGCCTCCCTTGATTGGCGCCCATGGCACGTGCCATGTCTGCCTAGTTACGCGTCTGTTTGAACCTGTATCATTGTATGTGAGAATGTGTTAACTTTTTTTTTAGATTTGCGTCTCAGCTTCCTGCGTTTTTGCTCCAATTGCAATAATTTTTGAAATAGACAGTTGTGTTAGAGGAATATAGCACAAAAACAATTTACATCAATTAACTTTTCCTGTTTTCGTTTTCTTGTGTTCCTGTGACCCTAACCACAATATGCAATATCGCCAACAACAAATTTCCTTATTACTTCCATTTGCATTCTTCCTATACTCCCATTTTGGGTTTTGAAATAACTGTTTCGATCAGGAGAACATAATAAATAAACTCATGCCTAGTTATTATGAGCAAGAGAATGCCTTTTTTGTGCCACCCCTGCCTCAGTGGGTTAACTCCCGAAGCCCAAGATCTAACCATAATTTTCCGCACATCATTAATTGAATAACATGTGTCGGACTGGTAATTCTTGACGGGTTAATTTTGAGATAATAGCGTGCAGCAATTAAAATTGCTGTGTTATTTTTTTATGATAATTTCTGTTAACAATACGTGATTAGTTTTATTTTGACGACTTTTTAGATAGCGTATTTTTTCCGCATGAAAACGCAAGTGATTTCGTAATTAAAAGCAGACGTCGGTAATACTATTCTTAATTGTAGAAGAAACGGCAACGGTAAGAGGGACAGCGTATACCGAAGGAACAGAAAAACGTGAGGGATCTGATAGAGATGAAAATGGCACAACCATCTCAAAAAATGAGGAGTGTTGACTCCACCATCAGTACAATCTTGTCGAGGGCTACCACATTCCATTTGTCGGTACCCTCTTGTGACGTCCCGTTCGCCCGCAATTCGCGTCGGAAGTTTTGACTCCACCATGATTATGATCTTGTGGCCGTAATTAACAACTTTAGGAACGGAGCTACATGATGTGGAGTCGGCGACATGGCGCCATCCCCGAGCGCATTTGCTGCCAGCCAGCTAGCCGGTCAAAGTGGGATTAAAAGCTACCTTTTTACAAATAAATTTGCGCTAAAAACTGGAAAAACCAAAGGAATTTGAAAACAAAAGAATACGAAGAATTTGAACAATCAAAAGAACGAATAGTCTGCAGGATCCAAAGTATTGGCAAAATTCCAGTGATAGGCATAACCTAATAAAATTGTAAGGGAAATGTCTTTTCCGTAATAAATTTACTGAACAAGATAAAATAGCAACTTTGCAAATTCATATTTAAGGACGGAGTGGCTTAAAACTGAATCCAACCCTTCATCAGGTTCGCTAAAAGCTCTCTAACCTCCCACAATTTGTTATTCTTTAGCTTTACCAACCTATGTTTCTGATACAGGATGAGTTGGAGAACTTACAGCAATGACTCCACGATCAAATTTTGAATATAGTTTGCTACCTATTTGGTGGAAGATCGGTGTAAATGTCAACAAAAGAAATGTATTATTGTGTGGACAAAGTCTCACTTCATTCCTAGCAAGTGTTATCCTACTTTCGGACTGGTTGCTACATTTACTTCTTTCAATTCAGAAAACGTACTCGTATCCGCTGTTTATATGCAATCTAAGTAAATAAGAGAAAAAGGGTTGTGAGGTACTTTATTGTTAGGCTTTACATCGTTCGTGTGAAGCTCAAGATCTTTACATTCATTGGGTAGCGGCTTGCCGCTAAGTATGAGCTGAATTTCATGCAATGTCTTGCCTTTAGTCTCAGGTACAAAAACTATAGTAAATATGGCAGTTAAAAAACAACAACCGGCAAATATAAAGAATGGTATGTGTATTCCGTAGTTATCTTTCACTTCTTGGTATACGTAGATAGATAAAGTTGAAGACAGCATGTAGACACCATCTGCGGCGGTCATACCTTGTGCTTTAACATCTATTGGGAACAATTCCCCTGTTGACACGATTGGTACAATGCCAAGGCCCAACTTAAAAGATATTGCAAAAAGCATAACTGAAGCCACTGGCACCCACTCAGATACTTCCACCTTAAATCCACTCGACTGTAACGTAAAGTATATCGCCAGCATTAATACAGAAAAGCCGGTCATAACACTGGAGACAATTAGAAGTATCTTTCTTCCAATTTTATCAACAAGCGCAGACGCTAGCAAAGCGGACGCTAACATAAGAATCGAGTACACAATGGCAATGTTGTTAGAAGCTGTGTCAGTGTCGCCCAGTATTGAATGCAGATTCATGACCATTACACTGTAGCCAGCAAAATGTTGAGCTATGTTTAATACTGTCATAATTATGAGAGCTTTTCGACTGTTCTTCCTCAAGACTAAATCTGCGATATGTTTGTTCGATTGTTGCATGTTCACTTCTTCCGTGATTTCATCAAGCTCCTCCTCCACGTTATTGTAACCTAATCTGATCAACGATTGACGAGCCGCTTCGCGATCTTCTTTCAGAATGTAGTAATGAGGTGACTCGGGCATACACGGAATAATAATCATCTCCACCACCAAAAACATGCATCCAAATGCCGAGGATAACGGAATTGGCACAAAGGGCGCCAGCGAGTATATCACTACAATACCAACCAGCATCATTAGATAGACGCCTGATCCCAAAAAACCGCGGATTCTCTTATCTGATATTTCACCGACGTACATTGGCACCGCTACGAATCCAACATCACCGGCAATTCCACTTAAAACCCTCGCAACGTATAGATATTCGATTGAAGATGCAAATGCGATGAGGAACCATGATATCATGCCCTGTACAACACCCAGTAGGATAGTGCGTTTACGTCCAAAGCGATCAATGGTCAGAATCGTCAAGGGGATCCCCACAAACCCTCCAATCATGTACATATTTTCCAGCCATAATACGTCTGCGTCGGCGATTTGTATCGTGGAGTTCGACTTTCTCAAAATTGGAATCACTGGGGCAGTCCAGGCATAGTGCATGCCATCCGATATTCCACTCAGTGAACCTAAAATGATGATCTGACCTCGTAATGATACTGATTTGAAAGAGACTTACACGATATGGCCGCTACAAACTGAAGTACCTTCCCTGCCAAACACTTTTCCCCTAGACGCATGATTCGAGACGCAGAATAAAACGAATGTATGATATCGCTCGAGTTAGCTATTTATAACGGGACTGACCTCCAAACGTCTAACGATAAGTCCAGTTGCTAAACTTTTATCGCATTAAGGATTGATAAGCACAAAAGTAACGCATTTTATTTTTGGTTGTAGTCCAGTCAAATTACGGTTTGGGAAGGATGTTGTCATTTCACTCAATGAAACCAAGTGTATTCTATGTAAAAAAATTCGCTGAATCCGTAAATCATAGGCCCCCTGGCCGGAAGCTCCCGGAACATATTGCTGTAAACAAAGTGGATTCTTTATCAAATTTGTAAATCGAAGTAGGTCAAAAATAAGGAAGGCCCTTTTGACATCTTCATTAGTTATGAACCAAATTGCATGAAATTCAAAATTAGCATAGCTTTAACCATATAATACGTAATGCCAAGCCAAGCCATACTCAGGAGCTCGTTTGCTATATTTGTTTAATTTTTTACGTAAACGGTTTACCATTTCACTTACCTGCAATGTAAAATATTGTAATATATGCTGTTGATGCCACATTACCTGTCTAAGTACCAATCGAGACTTGGACCATGCTAATCAAAGTCTCGCAAATGTAATTGACTTCGTCAAGAAGTGGTGCATCGCCTATTATAAAGTAAACGTCAACGACTCAAAAACTGTTATTATGTCCTTTTCCTTTAAACAGCGTAAAGGTAATATCAGTTACAAAATGCCTATCTTGGGATCCTGTTGTTCTGAAACCGAACGCAAAATACCCGATGCATCTCCACGTGACTCAACAATCGCTCTCCACTTATTTGTAGCGACAGTGCCTCCAAATTGTCTTTAGTATATGAATTACAGTGATTTTCCATCGAGATCGTACCTAGACTTTCACACGGTTCGGGGATTTCGTTGCGGGAAAATTGTGGGATGATGCATAACTTTATTAGTGTTCGTCAGACAATAACATCTATTGCTTTCGTAGTTCATCGTATTTAGCTTTCATTTCACATTCTACCGTATGAATCTGGTCTTGGGGGCACCTTATATCTTATCTAAATCATGCCTTTTAGGATGGGGTTGATTTTTTTTGTAGGTTTTTGTAGATATTAGAGTGGCTTGATGTTAAGTAGGGTGGTTCTATTAGATAGTGAGTTTACCAAAACTGGTTATTCTAATACTCCTTTTAAATCGATAATTTACGAATGAATTAAGTGTTTCTTATTCTTGTAAGGAGAAGAACAGGATGAAATGATTTGATGATGTCGGCTCATTATCGCAAACTAAAAAAACTAAAAATTCGGGATTTGTTTCAGTCAACGTGGATTTGATATACCTGTCAGTTTGCCTAGGAAATGTCAATTGTTAGATAGGAGTGGTTTTGGAATTAATGGAGTGGTAGTAACTAAGATCGGGACTCGCGTCGATGAGGTGGTATCAGATCACGGAACCTGTATAGGGAAGTATTAAAATTAATTTGAAAAGAAACAAAAAAAGTGCACGGACCGTTTCACTTTAAGCATTTTGACGTTGACAGTAATCAAAAATACCTATCGTTAAAACTTCGGTTTGTTTATTTTTATTTATTTATTGTCCCTCTCTTGTTCTGGGCCATCAACAGGTTTTCGCCCAATTACAGAGTGACTCGCATAATGCTTTTTAGAGGTGTCCCTGCAGAAGGTCTTAAGTTGTTCTATACTACTCCGGTATTTACCTTACGAAGGAAAACTGTAGGAAAACCGGTTACGTAACATCAATAAGCCTCCCAGGTACGATCATGAAATTGATAGAAATGGATAGAGGACACCTTAACGAAGCGTCTTCAATAAAAAAATCTGCGGAAGAGGCCCTAAATTGTCCACAATCTTAATAATTAAAAGTTCAATTCATTTCATCGAAAGCGAGGATACCTATATTACTCCAAATTTCATGATTGTTTTTCAGAGTGCCAACTTTAGTTAGTTTCTTAAGAGGTTATGTTATTTTTCCACGATTTAATTAACTTTAAACAATGATATACAACTTTATAGATGTGTTTTTAATTATACCATAATAGCATTATGTAGTTCTCTACATCATATATTGCTAAGCAGCAATTCATAAGGAAAAGGTGCTCCAAGTTAATCGGCGATCGCTAAAGTAGTGGTGATCTATGGAAAATGCGAGAGATGTACCTTTCCCTCTCGACCTTATAAGGCGGTGGATGCTAAGCGGCGATTGATACGAAAAAGGTGTTCCCGATTAATCGGCAGTAGAGTAGATAAGAATTGGTATATGAAACGTGTAGGAAGTGTCAGGGTTTCCCTTCTCGGTGATCAATACAGAGAAGTTGATCTTTGCCATATGCAATATACGAGTATAACCCTCTCTACGACGTTCTTCTTCCCTAATGCATTCAAATTTAGACTGTATATGCTTCAAAAAGTGGTATTATTAAAATGTATCGACCATGCAAGGGTCGCTTATGTAGAGTATTAGTCCAATAAAACCTAAAATTGTATTGTATAATTATTATACCTGTTATACTACTTTTATTACATTCTGTATACACGTTAAATCCAGCATATTTCAATTTAGTAGGCGAAGAAGTTAACTCAACCTCCTACAAAAATTAGCTGTTACCTTTGTTTATAAGAGAATGAAGCGGTCACATAAAATTTTTCAGCTTCGCCAACTTAAACATGACTAAATATACGTAAAATAACACCATCAGATTTCCAGAAAATGAAGTGAACTTTTCATTAAGGTTGTGGAAAGTTTAGGCCTTCTTCCGCAAATTTTTTATTCTAAACGTGTTAGTAAGGTGCCCTCTATCCATTTCTATCAATTTCATGATCATACCTGGGGGGCTTATTAGCGTCACGTACCCGGAAAACCTAAATCGGAGTATCCGCCAGAATGCTCGAAACTGATCCAAGAAAATTCTCATCTCTGCCACAGATGAAAAATTCACCTCAACTCAGGTTCGAACACCCGACCTCCCGGCTGTGTAGGCTTTCTACCACTGAGCCACACATACGGTTGTTATACTGGTCTGATTTGTCATAAAATAAATTTTCCATTATGGCAAAGTGGCTGAAGGTGGAAGGGTGCATTTTAATTAGATTTTTTGGTAAAAAGCAAAGTCCACTTACTTTTTGACTAGCCAATTAGATCAAGGTAATTTTAATAAAATGCGTTAGAATCATAGCTCTTATTTCTTGTTGACCTGCTTCCATTACAGCTTGCATGGCTTTTGTCCGGATTTGGTTTTAGTCCACATTGATTGTTAAGCAGCTTTTATTTTAGCTTGACGGGCTTTCCTGGATTAATAATTGTTTCATATTCTTGATGCGGATCTGCTCAGTACTAGCATTAACTTTCACTAATTGTCTACTTAAACAGACCCCACACCTGACACCATCGTAAATTTAATTGCGTGCTTATTTATATCATTCTTATAGGCCCAAAGCAGGGCCCAAAGAAACCCACCATGGAGGAATTAACGTATTTATGGAGACTTCTCTTTATTTCCGGAAGCAATATTCGAACCACCTGTTTATTAAGTTGTCCGTCATAATTCGTGATGTCAGTCTAACCGACTGTCCCCGATTATGGGAAAACGGCCTTACTTTTTTCAAATTTGTTTTCGCTATTTATTAGCGCCTCCTGTTTTGAGAGCGATCACATGATTTTCGCGAGGTCAAAGGCTCGGACAAAAGCTCAAGTCAAAAATTCCGAGAAGCAATTAGGTATAGTAGGGGAAGTCTTTTTCTGGAGATTTCAAATGCCTATTTCTATTATTGCAAGGGATGATCTAGAAAAAAAGACATACATCGGTATATAAATACGCAAATTTCAATGAGAAAACGTATTAAAGCGATGTACCAAGGTACAATAATGACGCAAAATCTCCGTCGATGAGGTCAAAATTCGGGTATATTATGGAAACAATGTGTTAGAAGGGGGTACCCTCCAAGCAAGAAAGAAGATCTGGAAAAGACGTATCTGTCGGTTGGATTCAAACTTCCGATTGTAATATTTCGAAAATGGAGTGTCTGAGCAGGTACTCTGAAACAAAAGACAGCAGTTATCTTAGAGGAGGTTCCTGAATCTGGCGTTTACTACCCAAGGATGAGTAAATGATTTAATTAATATAGCTGTGGAATACCGCCAAAATTCAAATTATATTAGCATTTCCAAAACAGTGAGCGTGAGGGTATCCAACATGGTAAATTCCGAATAAATGGTGGTGAGTAGCAGTTAAAGTATAGAGTTTCTTACATTGACCTCACTTAAAGCGTTATCTGCTTGACCTTCAATGACGTAATTGCGTATTATCTCCGCTTCTACTTGCCAGTTATTCAATTGCGTACCTATTTACAAACAACACTTTGTTTTATTGGAATGGTGACTGAATGTATGTCTATATAAATCAAAGAAAAATGTATCACATCATAATACTATCACTCATGATTATAACATTATACGAGCTTCATGATACTGTCTATAATACTGCATATTTTAGCGCCAAAAATAGATTGGCGTTAATTAAAAATCACAGTTATGACCGCGAGATTCCGTACTAGCTTCAAGCTTTCTCTGGAGCATTCAGTTTTTCTTCGGCCTCGCTGCTGTCCTTTAGAGAGGGAAGGCCGTTTAACATTATTTGAATTTCTTTTAATGTCTTTCCCTTGGTTTCCGGTATAAAAAATACAGTGAAGATTGTTGTGCAAACACAGCACGCGCTAAAAAGAAAGAATGGTACGTGATGCCCAAAGTTTTCTTTCAGAACTTGATATACGTATATGGACAAGATTGACGAAACGATGTATATACCGTCCGCAGTTGTCATTCCAAGAGCTTTTAAATCTGTGGGGAAAAGTTCTCCCGTCGTCACAATGGGTACAATACCCAATCCAAATTTAAAACAAATGGCAAAAGACATCACGAAGAAAGTAGGTACCCAACTATACGATGTGAGATCGACGTTAGACTCCTTCAAGGTCATGTAGATTGCAAAAACTAGCACTGATATACCAGTTGTAATGCTCGAAGCGCCGAGAAGAATTTTTCTTCCAGCTTTGTCAACTATAAACGAAGATAACAATGCTGAAACTAACATGAGAACTGAGTACCAAATAGCGATGTTGTTAACACTTAGCGAACCACTGGCATCTTCTAATATCGAATGAATGTTCATGAGTATAACGCTGTATCCACTAAAATGCTGCGCTAAATTGAGCACCGTCATAATCAGTAGAGCCTTTCGGCTGTTCTTCTTCATCACCAAATCGCCGCAACCGCGTCCCTGGGACAGCTGCATTTTAACCGTAGCGGCTATTTCCTCCATTTCTTCCTGCACGTCGTCCGTCGATCTCAGCCTTTGTAACGATTTCCGAGCTGCCGCCGGATTTTTCTTCATAACGTGATAGTACGGTGATTCGGGCATAAATGGGAAGGTAAGCAGTTCTACAACCAAAAACGCACAACCAACTGCCGAAGAGACCGCAAGTGTGACAAAAGGACCAACGGAGTAGATTATTACAATTCCAACTAGCATCATTAGATAGATCCACGATCCCAAAAATCCTCGTATCTTTTTATCGGCAATCTCCGCTACGTACATCGGTGCTGCTACGAATCCGACATCTCCTGCTAATCCGCTCAGAAAACGCGCCACGTACACGTACTCAATCGACGGCCCAACACCGATTAGTATCCACGAGACCACACTTTGAACAGCTCCTACTATGATTGAGGTTTTACGTCCAAAACGGTCTATAGTCAACACGGTGAAGGGAATTCCCGCAAACCCTCCAATCATGTAAACGTTTTCTAGCCATAGTACGTCCGTGTGGGTAACTTGAAGTGTAGAGTTGGAATGTTGAAGGAGTGGAATAATTGGAGCGGTCCAGGCGTAGTGCATTCCATCGGATACAGCACTCAGTGTTGCTGAAAGGAAAAACAAAGTTAGTACAGGTAGCGACAGTCGTTTTTTTTTAAATAATGCGGGTCGGTATGTTGCCTAATATTATTTGAACAATTAATTAAGGCTTTTTCGATCTTATTAAGAGATTTAAGAGATTTATCTTGCGCATAATTGAGCAATTGAATAGCTAAGAATTACTTAGAAGCTTATAAAGGAATAAAACTCGCGTGCTATCGAAAGGTAATCAACACAAAAATGATCTTTTTGAAGGCGAACCTTAAACTTAATACGAGCTCTGATTTCCTTTTAATAACAAGGAAATGATTACTCTTCAGTTACGTATGGGATCGGAGGCGGAGTTCGGAGGTAAGAGAGAGAGAAGGGTCTGGGAGACGGATACCAGTAGGTATATGGATACTCAGGATACTATAGTTGGCAGTGCCTATCTCTCGCCAAATATATAGATAGGTACACCAGTTGTGGGCGATGTTTGAGGGATTGTGCAGGGGGGGGGGGGGGATTTGGATCGAGCGTTCTAAAAGACCATTCGAGCGAAGAGCGCTCTAATTATCTCAAAAATGCTCGCGAGCATCGAGTTGTGCAAAGCGAAACCGCTTGCGAGTTCCCAGCACTCCTAAAAGTGCTCCAGCTTTATATCACGAGCGCTCTCGAAAAGTGCTCGTGAGCGGAAAAAACGCTCGCAAGCGCCGCTTAATCTTTCAGCGCTTGAGGGCGATTCAAAATGCTCACGGGCGAAAAAAAAAAAGCTCAGTAGCGGAAAAACGCTCGCAGGCGGTTAAAAGTGCTCACGAGCGAAAAAAAAAAGCGCTCGGGAGCAGAAAAAACCGCGCGTGGGAACGGAAAAAAACGCTCGCGAACAGCTCTTAATCCTTCACCTTCGGCACTTAAGGGGCGGTTAAAAAACGCCCAGGAACGGAAAAAGCGCTCGGGAGCTGAAAAAAACCGCGCTCGGGAACGGAAAAAAAACGCAAGCGAACGGAAAAAAAAAGTTCGCGAGCGGCTTTTAATCCTTCACCTTCAGCACTTGAGGGCGGTTAAAAGCGCTCGCGAGCGAAAAAAACGCTCTGGAACGGAAAAGGCGCCGGGAGTCGGAAAAGAAAAGCGCTCACGAGCGAAAAAAAAACGCTCAGGAGCGGAAAAAGCGCTCGCGAGCGAAAAAAGCGCTCGGGTGCGAAAAAACCGCTCGGGGCGGAAAAAACGGTCGCGAGCGGCTCTTAATCCTTCACCTTCAGCACTTGAGGGAGGTTAAAAGCGCTCACGAGCGAAAAAAGCGCTCGGGTGCGAAAAAACCGCTCGGGGCGGAAAAAACGGTCGCGAGCGGCTCTTAATCCTTCAACCTTCAGCACTTGAGGGCGGTTAAAAGCGCTCACGAGCGAAAAAAACGATCATGAGCGGAAAAAGCGCTTGCGAGCGAAGAAAGCGCTCGGGAGCGGAAAAAACCGCTCGGGAGCGGAAAAAACGCTCGCGAGCGGCTCTTAATCCTTCACCTTCAGCACTTGAGGGCGGTTGAAAGCGCTCACGACTCACGAGCGAAAAAAAACGCTCAGGGTCGCAGATTTTACTGAGGGCTTTAATGCCCACTCGACCTAGTGGTGAGGGATTGGGCCCCCCTAAACAAGGGTAGTAAAACCACGTTCACCAGGGGACAGCAGGTCACTATAATAGACGTCACCTTCGTTTCGCACAAACCCCGGGCAAGACTGGGTGGGAGAGATACCCTGCAACAGAAAACATTAAGCGGCCACAATTACATACCACGGATCCTCAAGGATGAATCCCTTCCACAGGGGTCGCTCCTAGGATAGTGGGCGAGGTAATCAAAACTGACAGTTCCATTGATCTTGGACGTGGTTATCGACAGAAGTTTGATGTTTGTCGACCACTTCGGACGTGTTGTGGGAAAGGCAAAAAAAGTCGGCACTAAGCCGATTCATTTCGAACGTGAGGGGAAGGGGGCGCGCCGACATACCTGCCCATCTCAAAAGTTTGTTTGGATGCGGTTGATAAACTGAACGACATGGAGATTGAGATCAACCAATAACTCCTGTTGATATCGTTGCTGTACAGCTTACCGCCATCTTTTGAGGATTTTCGTTTTACAATAGTCAAGGGAGTCGCAAAACGACCTACCGACGCCTGACGCTCTCCGTGTAAAAATCAAAAAGGAAAGCGACGCATGCAAATCAGCGCTGGAAATACGACAACGTCGGACGGCATGTTTGTAAAGAAATACGGCGGGTAGCAGAATCAGCGACGAAAATGGGACGACGATAGACAAAAAGGTAACGACTCGTTGTTTTAAATGTAAAAATCCAGGACACAAAGCACACGTGTGTCCGAAAAATAAGAAAGAGAGCGCGAAGGTGGTGGATGATGTCTGTCTCAACGTGTCAACACTGAAGACGACCCAAGCAGAAAATGGTGCCTGGACAGTGGTGCAACCACACACTTATGCAACGAACCACAGTTTTTCGATCAAATTTGGAACACGGGACTTTACATTTCAGGTCATATGCTATGATCGTGATTTTTTAGAGTAAGCTTTGGTAACTTATAAGAAATGTCCCAATTTTCGGTACCTAGTGATGTGCTTACCTTACAGACACACATAGAATGACATAACTAAAAGAAACGAGACTGGTTCTTTAAGATCATTGCTTATAGAAATATACAGTGCATTCATGAATTTACATGAAATCTTCTTCCTTCCTTTTCTTAAATTTACCCTAAAACTCTGTCGAATATTTAAGGTAAAAATTAAAGTTTTCCTTAGTTGTGTAGTGCCAAAAACCTAGGTTAAACTTTGTTTTCATAATGCAGAGCATGATAATGTGTAACCACCTTTGATAATGATTAATGATATTGTTGTCGTGTATTCGCAGCAGGTTTCCTTGATGAAGATGCAAAAGTCGTTAGTTTAAACGACTTATAGAATTGCTATAACTGTTCATTACAATACAATGGTCTATTATGCAAGGTTCAACCACGAAAAAAACATTCAGACGATTGGTAACTGTATCTGAGGTCATTTGGATATTTTTATACTATTGTTTCATACTATTGCCAATTAAAGTCACTCAAAGAAAACAAAAAATCACTTTTATTTCCATTTTCTCACTATAGCTCGCGTAATGGATAAAAAATTTTGCATTCATGAAGTTATTTTGCCACAAAGACCGGGCTTTCATTTCTTTAAGAATATCTCCACCTTTTACTAATATTTCAAACTGCTTGGTATGGTGGATTAGTAGACTGGCACGTTTTCTTACACAAGTTGGTATCTGATAGCACTGTTCAGCTATAAAGGCGGTACATTTTCAGCAAGTTTTCTCGCGCAGGTTGCTGTCTGGGCACTATCGAGTCACGCTCGAAAATTCACTTGATCTGAATTTGTGAGAAACCTTCTCGGGAGGTCTAGTGTACGTTTCCACTAGCAAGTTTTACTGTCGCGTAATAATAATACCTTATTCTTTGGACTGTGTGCCTATCAGTGATGCTGCACTGCAAAAGCGATATGCTACCTAATTAGCGAGATTGAAGGTATCGATTTGTGGTGGGGCCTCATCGTGCATTTCTCCTGGCAGTCCAACTTCGATGAAGATATTCTGAAAAGCGCTTTTTAAAATCTCACAAATTGTGAGAATCTTAGAAGGCATCTTACCAGAAGAGGGTTACCTACTTTTGTACAAACCTTCCTTGAAATCTTAAAAGGTTTTGGTATACCCTTACAGGACAGGCGGCCTATTCCTGAACCATGACAAATGAAGCAAACATACATAAACGTGTGTCTGCTATGCCACTGGTTCAAGATTACGTCAAAATGGCGTTACAATGCAAAGTACTACTTTATTTTGTTGTATTTTTTTCGAGCATGTTATTTAATATAAAACGTAGAGGATTGCGATTGCTTACCGTGAAAGAACAGGTGTGTAAAAGTAAGTGACATTTGATATCTACTATCGTCTGTGCTGTTTGATGAGCACTAAATTCGTTCCAGGGTACATTTAATGTAGTAATAGGTCACTTTGAGAAATTTAGGGTTTCATTTTAGATTATTATTCATTGTTTAAACAAATTTCCACGTGTGTTCACATACCTAGTAAATTTTGAATTTTTTGTTAATTTAGGCCAGCCGAGTGGTTATTTGCAAAATAAAAATTTTAATAAGTGCTTATGAAAATAAAGCCAGTAGTTTTTTTTTAAACTAGAAATGCCATTACCTACATTTGAGATTTCAGTCTGGAGGCATATTCTCGATATCACTGGAACAAGTGCAATCCTCTACGTTTTATATTTAATAACATGCTCGAAAAAATACAACAAAATAAAGTAGTACTTTGCATTGCGTTTTTTTTTAATTTAAAAGTTTTTAATCACCGGTTCTTAACCAGATTAAATTTTCTCAATCGTCCTCGTAATAGAAGCGTATATGGTTAAAATTTTTCACAGATTTTCATAAGTAAAAAAGCATTTTGCAGTTTGCGCATGCGCACATTTGACTGTTTACTATGTGCGATGTGTTTGCCTTTGCGAATGACATTTCTAGTTTTCGATTTTTACTACATGTGATGGTTATGTTATGGTTAAAATTTCGAAGAAATATTGTCATAAACAATGAAGTTGGGACTGCACCTGCGCACATCTAATGTTTACAATATGAGATATGTTTGCTTTCGTTGGAAAATGCGCTAAAAGATCACAGCTTCACCAAATATTTGTGATAAACCACCGAGTTCACGAGACGCCCTCGGCCATTTGAGATGTTGATATATCGTAATTCTATACCAGTGCAGCGTTGCAGGTTTTAAAAAAACATGTTATACATAGATATATGTTCGTTTAATTGATAACCGCAACATCGTCAAGAGTAATAATTATATATTTTAGCGCACTAGTAAAATACAATGAGAAATTCGGAAATCTGGCTAGGGCAGGCTTAAAATTTTTCTGGGGAGGCTCAGCCTGCCCTGGCGTACCCCTTGCTACGGCCCTGGGTGGAAATATTGTAATGAGTCAGTCAGGCAGACAAGACTAAATTGAATTTTAATGAAAAGGTATTACTTAAAACGGTTTCGTTTCAAGTGGGTCATGTGTTCGTAAATCAATCAAACCGTCTAACTGTTGATTTGCTATAAAATCAAGGAAACTATCCAAGTTACGTGATGAGGTATCGAGGTTATTTAGGTAGCCAACCACGTGCGCCTTATCGTTTGCATTTGAGCTGTACGTTTAGTTTTTCATTACTGATAGAAATGGCGAACTCATACCGATGAAAAGTAAAAACGCAAACAAATTCAAGGTAAATTTAATATTGCCACAAATAGGTACAGTCATCGTATTGCATAATGTAGCAAACAAATTTGGTGGTCGGCACTCATCGGCCTCGGATAAGTCAGACTTACGGTAAAGCACCAATACCAACAAAGTTAAAGTATAATAAAAATAACAAGTAGGTTACTTACCCGAAAAAACAGCAAGGAATTGTTGCACTCTACCACGCATTCTATTTTTTCAGCTTTGGCATATCTGTGAATAGGCAGGATTATTTTTACTATGGGAATTACCCGCACACTATTTTTAGTATACTAACATTACCTATCATGTAAAAATTATTCCTGATATGGTATTTAGAAGACCGCGCGCCGATCGCGAATGTTGACAAATGACCTAGAAGAAAACGCCGTCTCAGTAAAATAATTAACTATTTCGCGATAAACAAATGGCGTACTATTATGCGAATGTTCCCATGATTTTAATAATCGGTACTATGTATAGCGTGTTCCGAAAATTTGTAACACTTTGTTTCGTTATTACAAAAGATGTCTTCCTGGAATGTGCATTTTTAGCGTATTTTTGAAAAAAATACGCTGATTTATTCGTTATGGCTGGCTGGCCGGCTGTCAGGGTGAGATCTCAGCAACTACAATAGCTAGAGACTTCAAATTTTCACTTAAAACTTTCTGCTATAGTGTAGATGTGCAGGCTCTAGTATATTTTGAGTTAGATTACTTGTGAGATTGATAATTTAAGAAAATAATTTCGATATGGTTTTCAGAGGTGCTATAATTTTACCGTTAGATAGCGCTACCAGTATAAAAACTTTATTATTTACTTTGTGATTTGTTTTACAAAATAAAAACCTACCCTCAATATTGAAATGAAATAAAATTAATTATTTAACGCTGCCAAAATTACTCGTTATTACTTCGCTAATAAAATACTGACCTGTATTACCAAAAATGCGCTTTAATCATGCATATGCTGATTTACAACTTGTTTAGTTTTATTTTTTTTTTTTTTTTTTTTTTTTTTTTTTTTACTACAGTTCTACGGCATCAACTGCATGGTTATTAGCCGTTAGTGTTTATACTTTTACGACAATTTTAGTTTCCTTAATGAATGCAATCAATTTTCGAATATTATCTTCATCATTTCCTAAACATTCCTTTAAATTCTTTGAGATCTTATGCTTTATTCTTAAGTTTTCATTTATTCCACATGTAAGTAACATATGAGTTACATTTAGTGGCTCATTACATTCCACGCACAACGGAGAAGGGGCTCCTAAAAGTAAATGACTTGATGTTATATTACTATGTCCTAGTCGTAATCTCGTGAGAGCAACTTGTTCACGGCGTGATAGTTCACGAGGTATTTTCCACGTATTTACACCCACTTTGATTTGACTGAAAAATGATTCATCTGCGAACCATTGTGTCATCCAGAATTGTCTAATTCTTGATAATACCTCCATTTTAACATCATCTGCACGCACCCTTGGCCAGTCTATTTCTTTGGAGAGAGTTGCTTCTCTAGCTGCGCTATCTGCCAATTCATTACCTCTTATTCCACAATGGCTAGGACACCACAAAAATTTGACAATTTTACGGCGTCTTTGTAAAGAATCTAGGCAGGATAACATCGTTCTCACAAGAGCATCTTTGCTAAATGTATTCGTTATGCTTTTCAAGGAACTAAGGGAGTCTGAACAAATCAAAAATCTTTTTTCTGTCGACATGGTAGAATAGTATAACGCTTGCATAATCGCATACAGTTCTGCTGTATACACACTTGTATATTTTGGAAGTGACCAATTATATGTCTTGTCTGTAACACTAAATGCACTTCCCACTCCCTCTTCCGTCTTCGAACCATCTGTGTATATTATAATATAATCACGGTATTGATCTAATACTGATAGAAATTCCTGTTTAAGATATTGTTTATTAGTGTCCTTTTTTGTGTCAAACCACTTATAATTTACTTGCGGTTTACTAATTACCCAAGGTGGAATTTCGGACACTTTATTTTGATATGTTTCTATTGGTAATTCAAGCAAATTTAGATTCCTGGACCTTTCTAGAAGTCGTATGCCAGTTGGGCGCATTATAGTACTTCGAATTGTAAACTTGTAAGAGTACAGTTACAAGTTAAGGTAAACAAAATATGAAAAGAAAAAAGAAAAGTTCCATTAGAATATAAATGCAAATTATAAGTGCCACATTATAAACTAAAGCATTGAATAAAAAATTAAGAAGATGCGTAACCTTTTTTATTGAATGACTTAAGGAAGAAACATCTTGACTTCTTGCGTTTCATAAAAGGTCAGACCTCCCAATACTACAACGCAAGTGTCTTGCAAAACTTGGATGACGAAAGATAGAATAAGAATAAGCGAACCTTTCCACACCCACTATGCACATGCACATTCCTTGTGATTCGACGAGAAGTTAGACGACGGTTTCTTTTTCTTGCCGGGATTTCAAAGCTATACGTTTAATTTCTAATTATAAGGATAATCGCAAGTTCAAGGTGAAATTAAGATTTAACACCGGGGTCACTTGGTCGACAGATGGCATCATGTGCAATGCGCACTCAAGGGAAAGCTCAGCCGCTCCCGCAGGATTACCCATAAAATACCGAGTTGGAAAGGATGATAACGAATGGGGGCATTGGGTCACCCTAAAAGACCAACTGGATTTCAAACGAATCATAATTTATAAGTTGATCATATCTTAAAGGATATTGATATTCGAATCGTAATGTAACTCTTAATGTCACCATTAATTACTGTCACCCGAACAAATGTATGGTCAATTTTGAATGCTTTATATGTTTGTGTACGCTGCCTTTCCTTCAAATGCAGAGGTGCATTAGCTATCAGAGACAATTTTGAATCTCGTTGGTTGGTTGATCAAGGTCCCTCAGGCGTTATTTAATTGATTATAATATAATATTATACCTAAGCATGTAACTTCCTGTTTTTGTTCTAGGCATCGAGGAGAGCTCTTTACTGCAGTAGCGTATATTGAACTTAGGGTACGTTTTATTGCTACTTGTGCTCCCAATATTATTGAGATTTTTGGATCGTAATTCCTGTAATTAGTTTTGAAAATGAATGAGACTATACATTTTTGGATTGACAGAGGTTTGCAATGAAGCACCTATTTTCCGCCTTGAAGTTGACATACTTTCATGGTCACCCTGTCTCTGGAGGCGCTTTGTTACGAAAAGTGTCGTGCCGAAAGTAATTACGTTGGTTCTAGGAGTCGAATATAGAAGATAAAAGTAATTGATTTTATTTCTAAAGCTGTCATTCAACCCCTGTTACCGTAAACAATACATGTTATTAATTCGCCGTTTGCAACCCTTCCCGTTAAGATATTTCTATTGCCTTGGTTGCATCCTTCTTATTTAGAATGCAAAGGCGAATTAATATTTCAGAATTCCCGTGAGGTCATTATTAGCAGGCTTAGTTTCCTATGGTAATTTAAAAAGGATTAAAACTGCAAGGCCATAGACTTTTACGCGGGTATAGCAGTGACCTGAGAAGTTCCAAGAGACAATGGGTTCTAATTAGAATAATGAATTTAGAAAATATTACTCCGCAAATTAAGTAAGTCTACTTAGCGGTACCTGATTAAATGAGATGCAGTAAACAGCATCCTATTAGGTTGTGAGGGGTCTCAAACAAGCGCTCTTAATTAATTTATATGTTAAGACCTTATTACAGATTTTTAGGATGTCAGCAGACCACATTATTAATTAAATGAGTTTTAATTTTTGGATGTAGATA